GAAAGCGAAAATGGCACCGTCGACTCCTGCTTGCGAAGGAGCGGGACGTTCGAATTAACCAATCAGGGCCCTGGATTTGCTCCATGATTTCACTCCGTGAGGAAGTATCAATGAGCTTCTCGATGTCGTCGAGACTCTGCGGGGATTCCGCGCGTTGCCTCTTTGCGGGGCATTGCCGTACCATCGTGGTCGCAGTGCGTAGCGTTCATGCGCGGCCTTTTGCTTCCTCGAGTTGTTTACTGCTTTAAATATTCGTTCGCAGTTTGAAGTTGGCCGTCAAGAGCCGGCGAATGCGGTTGCCGATAGCCAGCATTGAACGGAAACCAGTCGGCGAGCCTAGAGCGGGATCGGTCGGTTGCCAATTTCTGCCACTCATCAAAGTCTTTGCCTCCTGCAAGCCAGATCCAACGTGTTATATCTGTATGACACATGTAATGACGGTATGTCTTGTTGAACATGTTTAAACTATGATGATGCATTTGCTACTTATGTCACGGGACTGTCGCTTCTGTGCGAGTTTGTGTATCTATGTATAGTATAATCATCGGCATTCCTGTGCATCGAGATTGTTTGATTGAAGTTGCGAGCCTAGCGCCTCTGTTAGGATGGGCTTTGTCAAAAATATATTCCGTATGTTGGTTAGAACAGAATGCAAGTGTTAAATTTCGTGTGCTGATGTCTCCCCCTCTCGGGGTCACAGTGGGCTTCTACCATGCGCCTTCCTGCTATCTCGTCTTGCTGTCAGTAAAGATTCCAATCCAGACTAAAGGAGCCTTTGCGACGAGAGGCATTTGTACTCATAATACTGTGCCTATCAGAATACGGATTGAAATAAAGCAGGCGATAAACTAGGTTTGAGTGGTATGTACGTGCACAGGCTCTCTTCTGTTTGCACCTTGTACTCCTTATTGGGTTATTGAGTGCGCCGAGAAGGATGTCGAGCTTTCTCTGTTCACTCCAGAGAGTTACCTATTTTTGTATAGCGTGGCAGTGATGTCACACTATAACGACGCTCGAGAGCTGAAAGTGCCGTAGACTCTCGTCGTATTCACGGAAATCTGAGATTCTGGAGCCATCATATGGCCAACGTTTTGGGACATTACGTGTAATAAAAAGTTTTGAAGGGAATATCAAAGTAATAAGTTATTTATGTTGTATAATACCAAGGCAATTGCAGACCTAAGGATCATTGCAATCTTTTGTCGAGAAAAAAGCAGGAATTAATTTTGGGAAATGTGGCCTATAGGATTCAATGAAAAAATATATCTAGAACCGTGGAATAAAAAATTACGCGTCAAAAGTTTAAATACTGCTTAGTGATAATTTATGATTGTCATCTTAAATATTCTTGGAGACCATTACAATGTATGTTGTTGTTCAGTTGAACTCTTCGATTTAATGCATTCGCGGAGGCGTTGATGTCCAAGAAAGCTGGGGGCATGTGGTCTGGTGGGCAGCGACGAATATAAATGGTTCTTTTATTTCGGCGAGGAAATTCGGTTGGCAGCCACAGCGTCTTTTACGATTGCGAGTAAGGCTGAAAGAAAGCTGGCGTTGGCATTCTGTAGGTAAAATTAAGCAATACACAAACCTTTTGTTACGAAGTGAATGTTCAGTTTTTGGTGAAATAGAAAATATTAGGTAAACAAAACAAGATTTGGGCAATACACTACCCGTGACGTCAAGTCCAGTAATTAGCAATATTAATATTTAAATTTCAACGTAACTATTAATGAAGTAAATGAAGTAATTAGTAATTTATTTTTTCTTAGCTAACTAACTGATCATGGCGGTGGTCATACCACTGATTGACAGATGAACCCAGAAAGCTCAAAGTGAAGGTAACATTCATCTAAAGGGGACACTTTTCCACAGAAAATACCTTTATTAGAAATCGCAACGCCTCCTGCGTAGAAGTGCATGTCAGCAAGCGTTGGGAACCTACGTAATCTCAGCCTCATAATGATTTTGAGCACAAGGACACGTCGAAAACACTAATCAATGAGACGACACACTTTTATTTAGATGAGAAATACAGCACTAAAATATTAAGATGTAATAGGAACTGTGCATGTCAGCAAGCCCTGGCAAATTGAGCAATCTCAGTCACATAATTCTTTCGAATAGAAGGAACTTTCAAGACATTGAGGGGTAAGACAAAACACCTTTATTTAGACGTGAAAAACAACGCTAAAATATAAAGGTATTATAGGAACTGTTACTATACAACCGAGTTGTTTAACCAACCCACTCATTTGAAATATGATAAAATATTAATATGGTGTTTGGTTAGGCGCACTAAACATAAAAAAATGCGAAGGGCAGACAAGGACACCAAGCAGAATAGTATTATAGTCTCGTCTTCATCGTGTCTTTGTCCTTCGCGCTATTCATGTTTAATAAAAGAAACACTGCCTTCGACTGAAATTTGTTTCACCATGCGGCGAATCTGTTGCGTGGTCAGGAATACCTTTTTTTTCGGGAGGGGGGAGGGCCAACATGTTGTCTGAGACTAATGGGCTCAAGGTAAACACAACAAAAACCAAAGCAATTATATTTAGGTCAACAAATAAACCAGTTGCTGTAAATAATACAATCAATCGTGGTACTTTGTCGATTGAACTTGTAAACCAGCATAAAACCTTAGGTGTAATTCTTTCGGAGCACATAATGTGGGATAATCATATAAATTATATACTTGGGAAAATTTCACGGGTTGTTATAGAGCGTTGTCGTAATATTTTGCCACCCTACGTTAAGCTAAAGACTTATCCATGCATTATCCCAGTCCCACTTACCTTATTGTCATCTTTTGTGGGCCACTACGACCAAAACAAACCTTAGAAACGTATTATTGCTCCAAATGAAAATTTGACGTTATATTGCAGATGTTTCCTATTATGACCACACAGAACCATTATTTTATAGATTTCAAGTACTTCCTGCAGAGTCCCTGAACGAGTACCGCTTGCCTTATACAGTTTGTGTTTCCTCTCCAGTTTTGTAGAATTTTTGTCTGACGTTTCAGATGTTTGAAGACATGAATGTGTTAGCACGCGTCGCACAGAGACATGGGTCCTCCCTCGGTTTCGTAAAAATTTTAATTTTCAGTCCTTACATTATATAATATACCGGCCCGTTTGCTCGAAGCTGGTTAACTAACCGCGGTTAAGCGGATTTCCCTACGAGGGGGAATTTTAGGTCATGTGACCGGCAGAACAAGGACGGAGTGGAAACATGGCGGTGCCTAGGTGTGTGAGCGCCGCTCGCTTTGGAAGTAACACGTCGTTGTAGCTGCAATATCGGGCGCGTTTCTCAACAATGAATGGTGCAGGAGGCTTTCGATTTGCCTTACCTCACTTAAAACGCAAAGCATGAGCAATCACCTCGCCGCATTTTTCAGAAAGTCTTTCGATTCTGGCAATTCCTAAGCCTAAATGAACGCGATAGTTGTCGGCATGGCAACGTCTTTGAAAAGTGGATTGCCTTGACTCAATCGGCCGGGTACTGATAGCACACAAAAGCAAACAGCGTCCTTTTGCTAAATTTCCCAAGCACCGGGGTGCATGCTACGATACTCAGTTTCACCTTTTGTTGTACCTCAGAGAAGGCTAGAAGCGCAAGCTCATAGCATTAGGAGCTGCTCTCAACGCACGCGAGCTTGTGCCGCCGAGATGTGCCCTAGGGCAAGGAGCTCGCGCTTTTAGCCTTTCCTGCGGTACATCATGAGGTGAAGCAGAGTATATTGTAGTTACACGCGCTACGCGTGCTGGCGTCTGCAGTAGTAAGTGTTCTAAAGCAAAAAGCCTGCAACAAATTTTGCCGTGCACGCGCGTTCGTCAAAGATTTATTATGATTATTTACTTCGAATATTCCGTAAGTGGAAGGCCAGCGCGCGCGGATCGTTGAATTACACTTCCAGTGCTCTCCTCGATGTTAGGGTAATTTACTAATAGGTCAATTTTCACTGGAACCGAATTACAGGTCTTTTCAATTTATGACGGTGTTATATACGTTTCTTACATGCTGGCCAACCATACTGCCCGTGTAACGCCCGCCTTTCACTGCTCGCTTCTTTCTCATCGTTTCTAGGACTGAACTTCGTCGTCCACTTTCGAATTTGGAAGGAAATTTCAACGAGGCTTGTCTTCACTTCAGACAGCCAAATATTTAGAAATTTTCCAAACAAGGGTTAATTTAGTTTTACCGTACCACGAGCAATAAGAATTGTTTCTTGAGCTCAAATGTATGCCGCGCTGTGTCGCGAAAACACGGTAGCGCGCATTTTGGGTCCCCCCATTTAGGGAACCTCTCCACGAAAGCCACCTATATTCGCCACAGCCAGGAGGTGACACCAGCTACCACCCCAATAATAAAACACGGAGCTATCGCTCATCCAGCCCTCGTCAAACTTGGCTAGGTACTTTTAGGTACCTAGTAGGGAAGGGCGGTTAACTTTCAACCGCGGTTAAAGTTAACCGGCTTCGAGCAAACGGGCTCTGCTGGTAAACAAGTGTATCACAAACAACATACATATAAACACAATAGGCAAAAGAGCCCTTCGTTTGAATTTTATTTTAGCATTGCATAACTTAATGTGTTTTTGCTGTTATTTTTGGTTGTTGTTGAGTTGTGCCTTGTGATTTGTTGTTGCTGCCAATGTAATTAAAAGAATCTCATTCCTAGTCAAGCTCTTTTTAACAGTTTTGTGTATGGGCTGTCTCGAAAGAGTTTCCGGAAAATAAACTTGATTTGATTTGATAAAATCTTTATTACTGGAAAAGTGGAGGGGGAGGGCGTGGCAGGTTGTTTATGCATATAAGGTCGGCTACACTTTGAGAAGAGAGCTTGAAGACCTACAGCCCCCCTCCCCCCCCCCCCCCCCCCAACATCTTTTTTTTTTTTTGGGGGGGGGGGGGGGTTACTAGGTGGAGGGCTTACATATTAAACCTTCATTGCAGGGACAAATATTTCATGTATAGTTATGAAGCGCAAGTTTATTAAACGGTGCGTGACAAACCTCGCTTAGAAAAAAAGGCCTTGAGCCCTCCTGCTGGCGACAAAACGAGGTCGATGAATATCATAAGCTCGTCTCGCTGATGCAGCGACCGAAGCGAGAAGCTTCGTAGAATGTGAGCCAGAACTATCTTAACTTCCATCAAAGCGAACCTCTGACCTGCAAAAAAACAAAAATAGAGGTTAGAGTGTAGCATCGGCAAAAAGCTGTTTCAGAAAGACGTGCCGGTATCCGGCGAAGGCTCGTGCATTGGATGATTAACTGGTTGATATCCGCGGTGCACGAGAGCGGGCGCGGCCCAAGATAGAAAGATTCGATCTTTTGCACTGCCAAGGGTTCGGTCTTGTTTTAATGCGAAAGAATTAACCGTGCCATAGAGCGGAACCGGTGTTGTTCGTAACCGCGAAAAACGGCAGAGAAGTTCCCTCCGCGGAACGCGTCTTAAAATGGCTGCGACGCGGCCGGCACGCCGGATAGTTCCAGGGAACGCCACCCCACAGAGCGGCGCTGCTCCCTTCTCCCGCCGCAGCAGCGCACACCCGCCGCTCCCCAGAACCCGGCTGGCCGGCGTCCGCAAAGGATAGCGGGGCGCGCAGCTTGTGGAAGTACGCTACGTATACGAATGCCTTTCGCATTCCTACACGTAAGCAGTCTTAAGTGTCCTCCAGTATTTCTTCTTTTCTTACCCCTTAACGATAGAAATCACAGTTTCGTAACATTGAGATGCTTAGGCTTACCAATGCAATTTCTGGATCCAGCAGAAAAAGGAATGAATGCAAAAGGGTTACGGGATCCGCTGTTTTCTGGGAGAAACCTGTCAGGATCAAACTCTTCCGGTTTTGGAAAGACATCTGGGTCACGATGCAGAGCAAAGATAATCATGCCAACGTTGGTTCCCTCGGGAATAACATTTCCCCCTGGAATGCAGTGTCACAAATAAAAAAGTAAATGAATGCAGAACAGAAAAAAGTATTTATAAAGAAGACTATAAATAAAAAACAAGCGTATATTCTTCGTTGGCTCTAGAAGGATAATAATAATAATAATCATATTCAATATTTAGGGTGCCCAAAACAACGACATCGGTCTTCCTCTTCGTGCACCAACACAAACAATAAAACCAGCAAACAAACAAAAAATCCTAAACACACATAAAGTTAAAAGACAAATGTAAGATTATCCAAATGGCGACGGTAAATTGTAACAGCTGCAGCTATATCAAGGTGGGGTGGAGCGATGGCGTTCTATAATGACTGAATCCGAGAGAGAGGTGAGGCGTTGCACAGTGAGTGAACATAGAATCAAACAAAATGTATGGTTAGACGTGAAAGAACATGGAATTTCACACTTTCAAGGAGTATCGGATAATCAAATGCACCATTAGCAACCTTGTGCAGAAAAACAAAATCTCGAACAGATCTCCTGGTAAACAGAAGAAGTGAAAGTGAAAACATTTCGAGTATATGTTCAGAGTTATAGTAAAAGCGCCTCTCAAAGTATGTGTCGTAAACAATTCGGATAACCTTCTTTTGAACATTTTCGATTGTTATAGCCTGTGTTTTAGGTATCGGGTTCAGTATGACAGAAGCAAACTCGAGTCTTAAACTCACTAGGGAATTAAAAAAGTGGATCAATGAAAGGGGTTGTTTAAAATTACGCGTCAAGCGAGATATTATTCCTAGTACTTTATAAGCATGTCTGACGAGTAAAAACACATGATTTTTGAAAGTTAAAGCATTTTCAACACACACGCCAAGATACTTTACGAGAGGTGCACGTTGTATTGGCGATCCCTCAAGATAAGAAGTAAAGTCAACAACAGCATGCCGCTGGCACAAGGAAATCACTTTTGTTTTTGTGGGGTTAAACAATAATTGATTTTTTTACACAAGTAAAGAATGTTTGACACGTCATCTTGTAAGATACCATAATTTTGAAGTGTATGAATGCTTTTGAACAACTTAATGTCATCAGCGAAAACTATTAGCCTAGACGTATCTACGCAAGACACAATATCATTTATAAAAATTAGGAACAGCAAAGGGCCCAGGACTGATCCCTGAGGATACCGGAAGTTGTAAAAAAGAGTTCGGAGAAACTGTCACCAAAGCGAACAGTGTTAGAGCGCAACGAAATGTAGGAGCGCACAGCTCAAAAAGGTAAGAGCACACAGCTCATGACACAGTCCATATAAGAACAGCTTGCGCAATAGTAACGGATGATTGACTCTGTCAAACGCTTTAGTCATGTCGAAGTATATTGAACCAACTTGTCCGCTATTCATAACAGTTGGCGCAGAAAAGTATAAAAACGAAGAAAAATTAGTCTCGACAGACCGACTACTCATGAAACCATGCTGTTACAAGGTTATTTTGTGGCTGAAATAAAAGAGCACTCGCGTACGAATGACAAGCTCGAAAACCTTTGAAAAACCACAAAGCATGAAAATTGGGCGATAATTTGAATCAAGAGATGCATCACAGCTCTTTAAAATCGGAACAATCACCGATTTCTTCCAAAGTGACGGAAACGTAATAGAACTGAGTGAAATATTAAATATATGTTTCAGAATCGGGATGAACAGTTCAATCTAACCTGTGATTATAAAACTGGGTATGTCATCAGCACCACTTGAAAACGTAGGTTACAGCTTTCTAATCGCTTCAGCGATTTCACCGGAATCGACACGCACGGAACATAACTAGTCGGGACAGTATTCCTGTTCGTCGCCACGTCGAAAAGATTGATGGCAGACAGTAAAACATTTGTTAAAATAATCAGCGAAAGTATTTGCAACATCAGCAGGTGAAAACTGATAACTAGGAGCATTATCTGTCCCAACACGCAAACAGATGTACAACCGGTCTCATGCGTGTGCTGTTTCACAAATTTTCAAAATCTTTTTGGTTGCCGGTTCAAGTTGTTTTCTATACTATCCTGGTGTAGACGCTTATCACGCTTAAACAGTTTATTTTTACTAGAGAACGCAATATGCTGAATTTTGCATACCAAAGAAAAAAAACGGACTTTTTAAAAATTCGGTGAAAAAAATTTTTTTTCCGTAGGCTGACTCGTAACTCCTTAGAAAACCAAGTAGAAAATATTGAGGGCTTGTTGCAGCATTTAGGAAAACATCTGTCAATAGCACTTTTTACAACTGACGTAAGCGTCTCGGTAGCATCATCAACATTAGACATAGAAATAACAATATCCCAGTCCAAATCTTCAATATCTCTATAGAGACTCAAATAATCACCCCTAGAAAAGCAGTGATTTGATAATTTACACGATGCAGGCGGCTTGTGCGGGAGAGAAAACTCGACAATAAAAGGTGGATGGAAACCATCCATCTGCACCAATGAAGTAGGGCCTGATTTAAACTTAGAATACGCATATTAAAAAGAGCGAGATCAAGAACATTTCCAACCTTGTTTCTAATCGTATTGTGCTGTTCAAGACCGCAAAAGCTTATAAAAAATAACAAAGAATATGCCTCAATGTAACAATAGTGTTACTGTTCACATGTTACATTGACCAATCCACACCAAATAGATTAAACTCGCCGAACATTTGGACATGGCACTTCTCGAAATTAATTGGCTTACTGATTGCGTCAAAATGCTCAATGAATACTGTCTGATCCTAAACAGGTGGAAAATATTAGGTACCAATTAAACACTTAAAACCGTCACTCACCTTGATTTCCACCCAAACGCATCCTGCATATGATTCAAGGTCGTACCTTCTCTACGCGAAGGGAGACCTCAACGGTGATTATGACACCCCCGCCTAACTTCTGCCCTGTATAAGAATAATCTCTATTTCGACAATATATATATTGTATTTTGGAATAAAATTATTTGCATCAGAGATTCCGCTATTGAGCCAAGTTTCAGAACAGATGAACGGCGGGAAGCAGGGCGTTACCGCTGCTTTTATAGACGCGGTACATTTCTAAGAAATATGAGCGGGAGCAGCCCGCCTGTTTCTTTGCTTCTCCACAGCACGCCTATTCTCTTAATTTCTTTAAAAAGTAAGAGACTGAAACCTAAACTTCAAGTTCTACCCTTAGATCAGAATGTCCTTAATCATGGCAGGTACTCCAAATAAGCATGACGGGCTGTTCCGTCTAATATCTCACGACTGTACGTACGCTCATGAATATTCTGAACCAGAACACGTGCTGACAGTGGAGGGTAGGCTGTAGCTTTCTAAAAGGACAAAGAATAATAAAATGAGAAACAGTGCCGAGCGGTCTTCGAACTCCGTTCCGCTTGCTCCGCCAACTCCGCCACGCACGCCACAAAAGTGTCCGTATCTAGGCATTGCTCTCACAGTGCTCGACCTAATCGTATTACTTATAAACTGGACATGTATTAAATAAGTTTGTTAATTAGACTTTAAACCGTATTTGATTCATTCAAGAAGTAGCGATGTAAAATCAGAACGCACTTCATAGGCGTGCTCTTGTCGATTTCTCGACAGCGAAACAAAAACTTGACTGCGCGATACCAGTGGTCCTCAGAAAAGTGCAAAATAAAACGTTTCAACGGGGTATTTTATCGTGCCTTCCGTACTAAACGTACAAGTCTTCCTTCATATCAGTTGAAAATAATCTTTATTTTTGCGTGTAATTGGTCTCCGAAACACTCTGAAACGCTTAACTAGAAACCTCTTCAGTAAAACAAAATATACTCGAAATAAATAAAAAAATGAAGACTAAAAAGTATCTTGATACTTGGGCAATCAGAATATGTTTAGAAACACTTTTTTTATAATGAGCTGGATGTTGATGGATATGAACTTAGGCGTATTGGCATGCCCTTTGGAGTGTACTTACCTAAGGTAATGTCTTTGGTTACAGTCCTCCCGATGAACGGAACCGACGGATACAAACGTTGACATTCCTAGAATAGGAATGCGCATGTTGTCCTAACGTTAAGTCACATCAAAACCAGAACAAAAGCAAGCTTTTAATAAAGGCGCCATTTATGCGCCTTCTGTATGTAATATATATACGTATAACAAAAAAAAAAAGCACTACAAACGCATATGATTTAAATATCTTCACAACATAGCTTTTATTTTTGTAATAAAATTCATTCCGCGGTTTCTTGACTGCAGTGACATACTGACGTCCTTATTTCTGGGAAGTGTTCCCATATACCTAAAGTGTTATTGGGATAGCTCGCACGTCATAATGCACCGATCTCACTAAGCGTTCGGTGCATGCATGACGCCGTCATAATTTTAGCTCACAGGAGACAGACGGTCGTGCTCGTGAGAGCTCGTGCCGCCTCGTGGCTTACACGCACAGAGCTCAAGAGGTTGTCGCACGTGCAGAAAGACAAGTTTCCTGGATGCATTGCGGCTGCGGTGGCGTAGTCAAACTGTCTGATGAGATCGGTCTATTGCCACTGATTCTGCACTGCGCTACGTAAGGATTACTAATAAATTGAAAAATAAATTAAGTACTTCGTGGGTCGTCCAGGATTTAGGACTGCTCATTTTCAAGGTGTCCTTTGAGATCTCTGAATTCAAATGTCTTACTGGAGTTTCGGACACGTGGAATAGATTTCCACACACGCTCCTTTACGCTTGCGGCTTTTCAAAATGTGTCATATTAGTAATCAGCTTTATATTTTTTTATTTCGGTGTATGACTAGGTTTGCAGCTTGATAACGTAAACGTGAACCTCTATTGTCAGGTCATTTACTCAGACTTTGCTCATGTTTTCGAAACATAATTTATAAACATGGCGTGAGAAAGGATATGCGGATATGCGTATTGTTTGGTTTCACTTAATATTTATACTAAATATGTTCAACAAAGTTTGCCTACTAGATTTATGAGATAGACTCCTTGGTTAAAGGGGCGCAACAAAAATAATAATGATTTCATGCATACGTACCTTTACAACGCAATCGAGGTATTTGAGCTGCTTGAGGTCATCCATGGTTACGTCTTTTTCGAGATCTCCTTGAAGAACCTCTTCCAATTCTTCATGAACTTTTGCCTGAACTTTTGGATAGAGCCCAAGCAAGTAAAGACACCACGAGATCGCCATTTGTGTCGTATCATGACCCTGAAAATAAAATACAATTCTATGTCTTGCGCCAAGTCTAGTTACTTAAGGTAAAGGTTTTTTGTGTTCCTACCTCAAACATGAAGGTGTCCACCTCTTCCCGAATGTCGTCATCCGTCAGATGTGCGTCAGAATTCATACTTTGTTGAATCAGTATGTCGATAAATGTTAACAATTTTTTCTTCTGAAATTCGTTATTTTCTATTTTTGTTGGGATAGATGGACTCTTTTCACTCATCAACTGCTTTCGTCGTTCTGTTATAACCTGCAGGGCAAGAAACAATACATAAATCTTTCAGCCTTTTTACTCTGGTGAAGAATAAGCTGTAGGTTCTGTTCTCGGCGGTGGCTTTTCAGGCGAGCGATCTGCTCTTCTTTTGAGAGGGGCATCTGAAGCGCTCGGCGCAGTGGAACTTTAGGCGACAGCGGCCTCGCGGCGGTTGCGGAACCATTCGCGCTGCTGCGTACACCGCCGCTCCTCTGCGCCGCTCGTTCCGCTCCCGCCATCTATGAGCGACGGCGGCAACCAGTTGCATGGTTGCCGCCATCGCTCATGGATGGCGGTAGCTGTCCAGAGTTCAGTGTCATCGTTTCTTTGCTGGTGGACACGATCCTGGGGAGGCTAGCCCTTAACAGCTCCGCTGTAATTGTGACTCTAAACTAACGTTAAGTGCTCCAAACCTCAATTCGTTTGTCTAGATATAATACAGGCCGGCGGCAGTGAAAACCAATCCGTGTTTTTGACACCTACCGCTACACAGCACCGGAATGTAGCGGTAGAAGTTGAGGAAAGATGCTTTAGTTAATTATTTCTGCATTATTTTATTTAAAAAAAAGATGATTAGCGATTGCCACTAGTTTGCAGTGACAAACGAAGTCCAGAGTCGACAGACAACCCCTCAACAGCGGGCACCGTTGTGCGCTATATTCTGGCTGCAAATTGCCAAAATAGTTTACAGATTTCCACGCAGATAGCGTAGAGCAACAAACATATTTCATGCAACCTCACGTCACTGCGCTACATTGTGGCAGAATCTGAGATATCGGCATTACGTCGTTCATTTCTGCTGAAACAAAACCGCAGCTTCTCGTTTTCGGCGGACGCACTGCATATGTTTGTTTTTCTATTTTTAAAGGGTATACGTATATATGTGCCATTACCCACCTTCCTTGTGAAGTCATGGACGACTTCTACGTTCCTTCTGTACAGTTTGCCATACTCAGTTCTGTAATAAATTGGATCGACGAGCAGCCATGGTGTCTGCGATCTTAGTGTTATCTGGTCAGACAAACTGAAAGAAAGCAGTGATGATACGTGTTAAACCGCCTCCGGGCTACATTTTCTAAATCCTTTCTTCTGTCCGTAGTGTCGTCCTCTCGGGGAGAGTTAGTGTAGCGTTTCTTCGGACGCTATATGGTTTATCAAAATGTGAGGCGGCTTTGAAGTTATTCTTCACCCAATGCCAGTGTTTTCAGGTTGCGTGATCAGACAAAACGCCTGGATTATTGCTCAGTTAGATACCCTGTAATTTGTTGAGTAAAAAAAGAAAACGAAAGAGACCGGCAATAGAGCATGTGATTTTCATGCGCGTATGTCGAGCTCATCCCTTATCAGCATTAAAAAAAAAAAAGCCATTTGCGGATATACTAAACTATATAACAGTAACACATAACCGATAGAGCAGACGCCATTCACGTAACGTGCTCATCGTTTTATAAAAAATGAATATCTACCGATTACAAACAATCGGCTACCGTGCATACCCCCCCCCCCCCCCACTATTATTTATATGTATGCCATAAACAGCTTATATTAGCACCTGTTTTTTTTTTTCTCGCAGATATTAGGTTAGAAATCGAGGCCTAAAAAAATACTTTTTAACCCTCTGTTCCAGTTACAAACAAACCGCGGCATTCAATCACACAACACTCACATGACATTGTGGAAAGGCAAATATGAAGAACCTTCGAGAAGTTCTGAAATATTTCAGGTATAACATCATTGCCTTAAGCGCCCTTATTCTTGAAAAAAACACTACTGCTGTTAGATTGTTTACGACTTGTGTACACAGTTTTAGTATAGTGTTTCTAGCAAATATTAAAATATTTTGTAGTATATATATATATATATATATATATATATATATATATATATGACTGACACTTAGCTCAACTTCGTCGTACCAACATATCTCGTAGTATACACATAAATAAAATGGTTAAGCCTAACAAAAATCCTTTACCTGCCATTTCTGAAAGGTTAGAGTTTAATGAGGCTCTGTGAGTTATTAAAGGAAAAGTCAAGGGTCACGGTTAATTGAGGGTAAAGGTGAAAAGTCACTTCGGTTTTGTACGCAGAGTGAAAAATTCTTTTTAATTTGGCGGGTAAACGCACGTTTCGAAGACGTTCAGCCAGAGGCGGTGCGTAGTTCCTTACATTTCCCTTGTGAACGTTTGAATGCCATAGGACTCTACCGTTCGAACCACTATTCCCAGATTTCTAAACAATTTCTTAACGTTTCGGGATTTCGTGACGTTCGCGCGTGCATGACATCAGACAATATTTGTTAATTCACGTAGCTACAGGCATAAAGATGATTTTATACATGGGTAATCGGTTACCGTTTGTATTAAGTTGACGGCGTTTTTGAAGCTACTGCAGATAAAGATTACTGCAGAAAAAGATATCAAGAAAAGGTAGGAAGTTGAGCAAGATGAAAATGGGAGTTGTCCTTAAAAACAAAACGGATAAGGCAAAAAAAAAAAAAAAGGACGAAATCGTTAGCCGCAACGAAAGTCGGAACTTGCAAGACATGTAATAAGTAACTGAATTATTAACTAAAACTGACTAATTCGTTTTTAATATTAGTGAACATAAATATATGGGGTCCAATTTAAAACTTGCTAGACAGAGTCAAAAATAACAAAAAAAAAAACCAATTTCGGAAAGATATAAGACACGTCATAATTTTACGGCTTTAAAAAAAAATTCCCCGCTCGATTTGGAAATGTTTTTAGGTTTCGGTTTCTCATCGAAGGTGATTTTTTTGGTGCCAGCGCTCGTGCCCGCTCGTGGCCAAGGCTCGCAAGGCACGTGAGCCACGCCTCGTTCTAACCCACGAGTCTTGTGCCTGGAACGCGTCTTCGACTGGTGTGTTTACCATGACCTAAAAAGTGGTCCCCCGATTTACGCCCGAGGATGTTACGAAAGTGCCATGAAAGTGCCGGTCACAATCCTGGCGATATCACAGCAGCTGTAAAAGATGTGGCAGAGGCCTGTACTGCTGCTAGGTAGTTCCCTCGAGCTTGGCAGTGTAAGGAATTCTTCGGCAGCCAGAACTTGGGACGCGGTGACGAGAGTGACACTCGCGTCCTCTCGTGTTTTTTTCTGGAGAGCTTATACACCAGAGCACGTTTACAAAGAAACCGGAGCGTCCATAGCGGCATGTCACCGGCGCCGCGCATGCGCGATGGAGTGTGGGCAAGAACTGCCGCGTGCCGCGTCGACAAACCATTGTAATATTGCGTTGTCGGCGTCGGTGTGAGTCCCCGTGCTCTTTTTTTTTTTGGCGTTGGAATTGTTACATTTTACGTCCTCTCAGCAATGTCTCATTACTTTAGTGGCATAAGCAAAATTAACAATGCTCGCTACACAGCAAAACGTCGCGTCAACAATGTGACGTGCGGCGATTCATTCGCGTGAACGCCGGACGCAAAAACCATTAATTTTAAGTCGCGACGTCGCTCGGGCCGAAAAAGCGTGGCTTAATCGAACCAAATGAATTAAGCGTAAGAAGTCGGTAATGACCACTGCATGGTAACAATGATCACCATATCCTTGTACCTAGTGTCTACACCAAGGCTACTCCCCCAAAAGAGCTTCAAGCTTAAAAGTCTTTTGAAGCCTGCACTAACTTCCTATCGCAATCGCCGGGCCAACGTTTGGTCTACGGGCCGCTGCCGTTTGAACGAGCAGATGACCACAAGCAGACAAGTTTGAAATGACAGACGACAGTTCGAACGATTAGGCGGCCGTTTGAACTTGGAGACGCACTGAACGCAATCCCCAGGTGGTCCGGACAACTTGACGACTTTCTCGCGTTCGTGTTGGAACGAAACAAACAAATCTGACGAACACAAGTATCCCTGAATTCAACTTAACATGCTTCCCGCAAAAACACCCGTAATCCGACGACATCGTTTTCTTTTTTTTTTTCTTTTTACAGCATCTATTTACGTTCTCGGACGAACCGAGCAGCAAAAACACATGCAAATTGATCTTCACACCTTTCCCGACACTTTTGGTGTAGCCCCAGTCGCGGCGTTTTGACGACAAGGCAGGTTTTTCGCTCGTTTCTTCCAAAACCACAGAAGAATGCACGTCCCGAATGGGGAAATCCGCCCACAGCCACCGACCGGAAGTGCGTTTGAAGGGCCCCCACCGCGGCGTGACCTAACAGAGTTGAGTTCGTGTATAGGCTCAACCAGCACGATTGCGACATCCGACTTTCGTGACACTCTGACTTTTCTGTCGTCATTTGTGGCCACTCGGGGACCACTTGGGATGCATTATTTGAATAGGACGCTAAACACACCAGTCTGTGACGTATATCGGGCACCGTACTGCGAGGGAGGTGAGGCAGTAGCTACGCGCCTCGACCACGTCATCGCAGGGCCGCTGGAGCAAAGATGCGCTCTGATTGAAAACCAAAACTTAGAAACGTGTAGGAATTGAGCGTTTTATTTGGAATGCCGTAAAATGCTCTACGTGTATTCTGTCTTTCTAAAACGAGTTGATTTAGTGGTTTTTGATTATGCTTAGCACGCTTCTAATTGACCCCATTTGTATTTTCATCAGTTAAAATGATAATGAGTACAGTTCAGATCATTATTAAGATTATTAATATGTTTCTTGGCTATCCTTGACGTCCGCTATGGCTGGCAGATTCCTACCGTAAGGTTCTTTTTTTTATTAACCATCCTTTCTTTAAGGAATTTCTTAGTCTTCTTTCAAACACCCAATATACGTTCATGCAATTGTTACTTTTTTTGTGAACCGTGCTAGCTAGACAATACCCTGAATATTTACATTTTGAGAGCACCGACGTAGGACCGCGTGCTCACATCTTGCTTGTCAGCTTCAACTCCCATTATTGTTTCTGGAAGATGGAATGCGTACTCAAGAATCATTTTCACATTTTCAACGTCCGAAGCCAGCCGGCCATACGTACCCAGCAGTATGCCCAAAGTGCACGATGTCGACAGGGGAATTAGACTAATTTCCTCTGTTTCGGCGTGCCTACCGATTTCCTGCACCATGTGCCTTGCATGCTCATTCATCGGAGCAACATATTCATCCAAGATGCGAAAGTGAAACGAAGGTGTCAGCAGTCGCCTTCTCTGCTTCCACTTTGCTCCTGAGCTGTTTAATTTCAAGGAAAACACAATCAAACAGTAGTTCGTTTCGTATACGATGTTTCAACATTAATAAAGCAGAAGTGAGCGACGTCGTCTTTATGTCGACGGTAGTTGAGAGCTGCGCAAAATACTACTTATGCCAGCTGCTGCCATTGCCACGAGAATATAGCACAGCTATTTAACTATAAAGGACAGAAACGATTGGTTTTGCGATTTAGGCAACCTATATAATCGCTACTATATGTGTTCAATGTTTCTAAAATTTCAACATGGAGACAGGATGGGCACACAGATACACGTAGAGAAAAGTGAAAAAAAAACAACAACCAAGATTTAATATGTATTTTATGAACTCTTGTACTTTTAAAACAAATTTAAATTAGCCCATGAGGTTTGTCCAAATAATCCAGCATACCTTGTGAGCAGTCCCTCTCCCAACCATGAATGCAAAAGGCTGTAATCAAATGACTTGCTCATCGTGCTCTGGCTGGTGAGCACGGCCTGCAAATAAAGTGTGTGGGCACTTATAGATATAGCACCCTAATTGTCAAATAAGGCATCGTAAAAAAGTACTTCATTTCAGACAGCGTAAGCCAAACAGAATGACTCTTCTTCAGAATACTGGAAACTACAGTTCCACTGGATGTGCCCCTGACAAGTCCAGGGATCATTAGACGAACATTGATGAAATACTCACGGGAGAATGCAGAATATTCGCCGGAATGCGAAAGGTTTAGCACATTATGCCACGTGACACACAAATGTAGGCTTTTAGTTTTTAAATATTTAGTTTGGGTTATGTCAATGCCATCGCAGCATCGCAGGGTGGCCAGTCCTTTTGACTGCACGCGTCGATTTTTCTTATCTAGAGGGGTAAAAAGACGCATTGAAATGGATTTCTCACTCTAACGCTTCGAGAGGTAGTGAAAGGTTTACAACATCATCCCTCACAAAACCCTCAGCCTGTCTAGAATGACAAACGCTGGTGATTGTGCAGCTATACGCCATTATCGGCAGTGTCATTGCTTTGTACGGAGACGTGGCATTCATAGACCCTATAGGATGGCCAGAACATAAGATCGGCTGGAAAAGTATCGATCGCAAAAATAATAATAAAAAAAATATACACCCCACAGTAGCGGGGTGCTGATTATGAACCGTTTTCAGGTAAAATATTTCACAGCAACTGGGGGAATATACTATTGCGCTAAAAGGTCCAAATATTATACAGTATTCATTTCGTAGCAGCTATATCTGGTGACAAAAGCGCACCTATCGTGGTGTCTTCTGGTGTCTTCTGGTTATTCGCCATAACACGATGCTTTAGCATTGATTGGCGTAGTGATCCTATTTTTTTCTCGTAATTTGGAGGTGGAGTTTCTGTAGCACTTACGCTGCAAACTTTTTATTAGAATGACACAGCACGGACAGCACATCTTTAATGCTGCCCGTATTCTATAAGTAAGTGGTGAACGCACTATAGTACACGGATCAGCGTATACTAGAAAAAGACTATCATTTTGTGGAGAGGCTACCGTCTTTTCTCGTTTTGCAGAGGACCGCTGACGAAGTGTCTTTCAAATGAAGGGAGGCGGCCCGGTACTTGAAGACTGCCTCCATTCAGTGGACTACAAGAAACATGAGGGCCTCTTTTGCCCCCTCACCTGGCCAAGAACAGTTTGGTCTAGCTCTGTTGAGTGACGCTCCGATACACACCTACCAAAGAGGTTCACGCCCCGGAGGACGCATTCTACTTCCTGTTTGTAGGAGTGTTATCTCTTCCGCATATGCGAGCATTTTAAGTACCGTGGCGTGCGAGAAAATTGAATTTCAAACGTCCTGACGAGACAGTGAGCGCGTCGCCCTTATGGTGCAACAGTGTGCAGACGGCGAAAGGGAAGAGAGCAAAGTGTGCTTCGGAAGAAAAGTAGAGACGCGAAATGTCGGGTTCAATTATAATCAGTTTCATTCAAAGTTAGCTGACGCTTCGATTTGGTAGAGCCAATCAAAAAGTGCCAAAACTGCATTGTCACGGCTCTCGTTGTTTTTATAGGTACACTATTACCGGCTAAAGTAATCACTCATAAAAGAAAAGGCAGGATCGCAGCATTGGCTGCGGTTGCACTTACAATGAAACGGAGTATACATAGCTGGCGAGTGCGACCGCAAAATGCGCGAACTTAGCGTCACACTTCCTCTCGAGCGCTGTAGCTTTATAGCGGGCCTTTCGTTCAGGGACTGTATACGCACGGCGACGCTTGTGTCGTCGACTTACAATATGCGTACTAGGTTTATATGCGCAACATTACCGTAAAGAAAGATGCCGGACATTCTGTGTTCCCATTGCCTTTCCCACTACAGCGAGGGAAATTGGCGACTTTCCTCGATTACGGCCGCGCTCGACGAATGTAACGCGGTCGGAGGGAAAGTTTTGCGCACCTGCGATTTCGGATGCCATGCTTGACGTCGGCTCTCGCGACGGAGAATAATGGACATTCATTTAATGTAGTGTGTAACGCGTGCAGCCTATTGGGCTGAAACTTTTATGTCCTGCCTTCAACGCCGGTGACATCGGCAAGAGGAGTTTCAGGCGACTGTAGTTAGCAGATGTTTTGCACGCTACGAAATAACCTCGGACGTTACCGTGGGCTGACTCCATAGATAATTACCGGAGACATTTACATGATTCAAAAACTAACCTCGCGGCTATACCACTTACAAAGTTAGAAACTCATGTGCGTTTACAACGAAGAAACACCCTACTGAAAGTAACAGAGCGGTGATAATTTGCAGGACAGCAGCCAACATATCTTGTGAATAATTTTCAATCGGCACCTATCTAAAGCTTTGTACAGTTGATTTTTTTTTATAAATGTGCGTGTGGGTCAAGTTTTAATTAAATAAAGTGTGCGATCAGCGATTGTGCAGAACTCTGAGGCAAAATTTTAGTACTATAGTTTAAGAACGCAAATCAAATTCGTATGCGTATATGCGTATAATCACGAATAGTGTAAATAAGAACCTTTGTATCTATTTAATTGTCCGAAATATTTCTACCGCTAATATAACAACAATATAAAATTAGTAATAATTCCCTTTGAAGAAAACTTTTGAAGTTGTGACAACCAACCGCTTATATGCCAAGCAAATACAGTTTGTGATGCTACCGCCTAACTCAGAAATATAAAGTCTGATTTAAATTAATAGCATAAACTGACTTTCTGTAAAACGACAATCTGAATTACTATATCGCCAGCTCGGATGTAGGTTGATTTGTTCTAACTAAAAACAAACGATTTAATTAATAAAGTCGTTAAAATTGCTGAGGTTCATTAGGATGTCTTATTCGGCAAAGAGGAACAGGCTGAAAATGAGCAATATTTGATGTGCTTTCTTCATTGCTTTTCTTTGTCTGTTACATTGTAAAAAAAGTAAGCGAATAGTGTCGTCTTGATATGGATGACAATTTTTGTTATTCTCATTGGCGTTATGAATGAAGTAGGACCTATTTATCATTTTCTCATAACATATAAATCACATAGCCGAAGCATTGCTGTCAATTACATGGCCATATGATGCAAAGCCATTTTGAATTGCTGAAAAGTGGACAAATTTGTCTCACTGCCCTCTAGTTTTATTCCCGATTATTTAGGAAAGTTACATCAGCATAAATATTGCTTAATTTAAAAGCTATGTTGCGTTGAGAAGTACCGCATTTACTCGAGTAATGGACGCACTGTTTGTAAAGAAAATCTGTGGGTCCGCTCTTCCGGGGAGCAAGAGGATTGCCAATCACCGCGATCGACGGCATAAGACCTGCAATTTACGGGACATAGTCTTTACGCAAGATTTCATTTTTGTTTCAGAAAATTGTGTTCTCGCTATGTAATTCATGCGACAATCGATGACTGTCTGTATATGCGTTCTACTGGAAAGTACAGGCAAGGGCTTTGTCTAAATAAAGTGCGCCTATTACGCGAGTACGTACGGTATATACCAACATTGATGATATAGATGAGTAATATATTAGAGAAGATCGAAGAACAAGTCGAGGATGACACTGGCTGTACCCTGCACTACTGTAACCATCTTTGTAAAATGAAGACTTATTAAAAGCTGTGCAGGTTGCATGACTTCTCTTTGTCCCTTAGCGTGGGTTTTGATGGCACTTACCTCGACAAGTTCAGCCTTGAATATCATGACGTTTGGCAACGGCCCCACGTAAAATCGGTACATGCCTTCTTTACGGAACAGGTTGGTAAAGCCAATGTGTGTTTCCAGCGTGGCTGAAATATTCATTGTTGGGCTCAAATAAAGTAATTCGAAGATGCAGCATTTTTGGTGGTCTTGTTTCTAACTTTTTACCTTAAAGTGTAGATGGTTCTAGGTAAGCAACTAATAAATAAAGAGCGGAACGTTTCTCTGTTCCTGCAGTGTATGTTAATTAATCGTCGGAACTCACAAGCTTGGTACGGCACCAGGTGCGTGATTCTGGCAATTCGACGGTGTTGGCGAACAATCCATCTCAGTGGCACACTCTCGTTCGGACCGGGCAAATCCTTCAGGTGCTTCCAAGAGGACCGTCGCGCTGCGTAAAAGACGCCGAGAGCGGCCAAAAACACGACCCCGGTTCCGAGAATGCAGGTGAAGGCGAGGAAGAGAAAGATCTGAATCCCTGGCAGCATGACCATAGTCGCGCTATAACCTTTGTCAAAACAGCGTCACATCCCAGACGCACAAAAGCAAAAACTGAAGTGTTGCTCTCTCCCGAACGAAAGCCACAAGTAGTTCCGCGGTTGGTTTGTTTTCCGTGTCGCGTGTAACTTGTCCTTGACAATAATGAGAGGCAGCCACCGGTCTGGATGGTTGCCAGGGCGATCGCCGATAGGGCCGAGGATAGAGTGATGACCTTGTAGAGTATGGAGAACGAGTAAAGTGGAATGCGGTAGCCTTTGGCTGCGCATATTGGTATGTGGTGTTTTATTTTTCTAAATGCTTCAGAAGCTGCGGTCTAAACTATAAAAATCGAAATGTGGTTCTACTTATAAGAGAACCTATTCTAATCGGGCGTTCCGCTTTTTATACTGGAAGAATCTAGCATATGTTTGGTAATGCATAAGCACTAACTGTTGTTGTTTGAAAACCGGTTTAGACAATTAAAACACGTAACATTGAGAACTAATTTCAATAAGGCTGGTGCTCACAGTTTGATCGAGATTTATGCTGACATTGAAGCGTTTGTACATCGTAATTGAAATAGTAGGAAAAGACAATTTTTGCATGAAGAATAAACTGGATAAATGTAAGGAACCTTCACAAGGAAAGCAAGGCACTGGTTGTATCCCTGTTTGGTTCGAATATTTAGCTCTGTGTTGATGTGCCTATTTAGTTAACACGCACTATTCATACGACTCAAAATAATTAGGCAGGTGAAAAAAAGTACTCGATACAGTCATTGCACAATGAGCACGCATTTAAATAATATTAGCTACAATTTAATAGCTCCGCTAGACGACGCTTAAACATTCGGTCATTGTGGGGTCCTCTTATTATACTGTCACTAAACTAATGCAACTTTCACAACTGCACAAAGGAGGTGCCGTACAGACTGTTGGGAAATTTTGAGGCAAAAGATATATGCTATATCCAAAATGTACCGGAACCACTGGTTCCGACCAAAATGCGCCTTTTGTTCCGTCTGTTTATTTGTTTCTGTATTTTTACGGATTCTGACAGAAAATGACAAGAAAAATGAAACCAAAAAGAGTCTGAGCTAAACTCTAAAGCAGCTGCCTTGGGTGCGGGAAGTCTCATTTAATCGCACCTTAGGTTTTAGACACGGGGACTGTGGGGCAATTGAACCTTCACTGGCAATATCTTTCCTTGCGCCGCAAATTCAATATTCTTTCGCTCGTGTACAAGAGACATATGTTTGTAATATATCTACGAAACGACCTGACAAAATATTGACAGGTTTGATTTTGTATCAGCCTTTTTTAATGTCTCGGTGGATCCTAGTGCTTACAAATGTCAACCTTCCTGTCAAAGGGAAGATACGTAGAAATGTAGGAGCATCGATGTAGGAAAGACGCAGCGTTTCTACACGTCGACAGCTCCCGTCGACAAGCTGAAACGATTCGACACATTTGACGCGGACATTAAAGAAAGTGGCGATGAGACATCAAGTGGGGGGAACACTTCAACTATATGATGGCCGAGTGTTAGCGCGGCCGAAGAAGAAGAAAAACTAACCCCAAGCTCGTGGAACCACCCGCGTGGCGCACTGTTCTTTTTTGCTAGGCAGGCGTGCCCGCCAGACGCATATTCAACGCCTCTTTTAAACCTTCACTGGTTCGTGTTTTTCGTGTCAAGGCACTAATACGTGAAGTAAATATATAGTGCGGTGTGTAAGCGAAAGCGGCCAGCCACAGCGTCGTTCTTCCTGAGATATCCGTGCGGTTCCAATGAAAAAGGAAACAAGCAGCGACATTAAGTTCGTGGCAAATATATTTATTAATAGTAGACAAAGTGTGCGTGCAAGCTGGTTGCGGAAGGACGTGATTTGAATACAAATAAGGAGCTGTTGTGGTGTCGGTTCTTTATTGTCCAGTTCGCCACAGGGCTCGAACGATGTCATATTTTTTTATTAATTAAATGCCATCTCGATTTGTCCAACCATTGGCGCCATCTGGGCTGGAAAGAACACTGTTTTCATAATGATTAAAAAGCGCGACAGGACAACGGACACAGAAAGGAGACACAGACACAGCGCTACTTAGAACTGAACTTTATTTCCGCTGCAGCTCGGTATATATTACCGGCAACAACACAAACAAGTTAGTAAGATATAAAATACACATCATAAAAATCTTTAAAAACAACATAAAAAGACTAAAATTCCTGCATCACTCATCGGCACCCACCCAAAACTAGTCATGCTTGGTCAAGAAACTGCAATTCTTTTTCGGATAACGATAAAGAGGGTGCGCTGACACATTGTAGCCCTAATCTAGCAATTTCTCGAGCCTCGAGTATTTCCCTTGTGGTTTTGTTTCTGTTTCTGTTCAGTACTGTACAATCTGTGAAAATCGGAGTACAACCACAATCCCGGCAATGCACCCCGAGGTGTCCTGATATGACGGCATCAACGTTGTAACGGTGTTCCCTCAATCTTTCATTTAGGCAGCGACCAGTCTGCCCCACATAATGACGCCCGCACGATAGTGGCACGGAGTAGACAACCTCTTCTGTACACTCAACAAAGCAAGTTTTGTGCTTTTTCGTGCAGCCGGGTATGCTTATGATGTTCGAGGTGGAATTCACCTTTTTACATAAACTAGTCAACTTGACAGGTGCTGAAAAAACAACGTTAACCCCTACGTGCAAGCCCACTCTTTTCAGGTTATGGGACACTTTATGTAGTTATGGTATGACCACTGGTTTCTCTTTTTTCTTTCTGTGTACTTCCGTTCCCTCCCCATTTTTATTCTTTAACGTCTTGAGAGTGTTTTCTGCTACGGCTAATAGAAGGGAGACTGGATACCCCGCAGACTTGAGTCTTCTCACCTGATTTTTAAAACTTTCGTTGATCTTGTGAGTGCACGACTTTTTTAGAGCGTTACCGAAGCAGAGATTGATTATCCCCCTTTTCACGAGCTTTGAGTGCTCCGACGCGAATGGCAGGATTGGCTTGTTCCCCCTTGGTTCATTAATACAACATACATGCCCCGGTCGGAAGTCAAGCCTCAGGTCTAAAAACCTAATGGAACCACCCTCCGGCACTTCATGTGTTAGCACCAGGGGCCTTAGACAGTCACTGAAAGTGGACAGGGTCACGGACACCAGCTCCTCAAGGACATCCGAGCCGCAAGTCCAAAAGGACTAAAAAATCGTCCACAAATCTAAAAATGCTTACAACACTAGAACCCTCAAGTTTGCTAGCCAGGATCCGATCAAGAGCCGCTAGAAAAATGTCGCTAAGTTCCGGTGCTATAGGCGAACCGATACACACACCAGTCTTCTGAATAATAGTGCCTTCGTCCCACGTGGCAAACATAGCCATAAGCAGACTCGGCTGCACGAAAAAGCACAAAACTTGCTTTGTTGAGTGTACAGAAGAGGTTGTCTACTCCGTGCCACTATCGTGCGGGCGTCATTATGTGGGGCAGACTGGTCGCTGCCTAAATGAAAGATTGAGGGAACACCGTTACAACGTTGATGCCGTCATATCAGGACACCTCGGGGTGCATTGCCGGGATTGTGGTTGTACTCCGATTTTCACAGATTGTACAGTACTGAACAGAAACAGAAACAAAACCACAAGGGAAATACTCGAGGCTCGAGAAATTGCTAGATTAGGGCAGCAATGTGTCAGCGCACCCTCTTTATCGTTATCCGAAAAAGAATTGCAGTTTCTTGACCAAGAATGACTAGTTTTGGGTAGGTGCCGATGAGTGATGCAGGAATTTTAGTCTTTTTATGTTGTTTTTAAAGATTTTTACGATGTGTATTTTATATCTTCCTAACTTGTTTGTGTTGTTGCCAGTAATATATACCGAGCTGCAGCGGAAATAAAGTTCAGTTGTAGGTAGCGCTGTGTCTGTGTCTCCTTTCTGTGTCCGTTGTCCTGTCGCGCTTTTTAATCGTTATGAATCACCAACTCGCCCAGCTTTCTACCCTCGTCAGACTGTTTTCATTTTCGTGCCGAAGTAATAAGCACTTTGTTTTTGAGAACCGGAGTAACCAAAGAGAAAATGCAAAACTCCGTCAAGCAAACTGCGTCCGCCACGACTACCTATAGGTTATGGTCTACTGAGAATGGAGCAAGTTCATAATTCTGAAGGTTTGTCGGCCGTAGTCTCACCATAAAGGGCGAGGAGCGAACCATACTCAAAGGTCTTACATCCTCCTCGTGCATCCAGGTCATGGTCATCTCGGCGGTGCTCGTGGCGTGCATCCAGTGTTTTACACATTCCTTAATAAAAAGAACGAAAGCTCGTTCCTGCTTCCTTCTGATTTTTGGAACGCGTTCCCGTTAGAAGTTACACATGTGAAAAAGGAACTCGTTCCCGTTTGAAAAGATGGAACGTGTCGTTACGTATACGTTCCATTAGTATTTCGCTGATTACCATATTTAGTTAGATCAAGCAGTTGTCTTCTTTTATATATCCCATAAAATGGCAGCATACGAATTTGACTGCAGTGATGGAAGGGCACCAGGAGAAAAGACAAGCGAAATCATGGTTTTA